GGTGGTCTCTACGGCAAGCCAAGTGTCTCATTAATAGACACTTTTAGCTATTAATGAGACACTTGGCTTGCCACATATGTTGAGGGCCCTCTAGTGGCTGAAAATGGTAGTGTTCAATATTTTCTGTGTCAGAATGAATGAAATCGTCAGATCTCAGCCAAAAGTTGGTTATAAATATGGGGAAATGTATATTAGTCGCTTTGGTGTATAAGTCACAGTCATGCTAATTTATGTAAAAAAAACTGCGACTTATACAGCAAAATTTAAGGTATACACTCCAAATTTGACCAACATGCGTTCCACTGTCACACAAAAGAAAAAGTTCTAGTCTGTTTTTGTCTTGTGTCGGTGTTGAGGTGAGTGATTTCCTGAAGTGATATCAAACGTTTTAAAGGCTGCGTCGTGCGTCACGAAGCTCAGCAGAGGCTCGGTTATTAACTGCAGCCTTCTCTGGCGGCTCTGTAATAATGACACGCTCGGGTTTTATTTCTGTGGTTTTGCACGGTGGTACTCAGTCGCACATTGCGTTTCACAACCTGGTATTTTCAATAACACATTATGAAACTCCCTGACCTCACTCGAGCGCCGTGTGATGTTGCTGCTCCTGTTTATCGAGGGCGGGTGGATGAAGCTGTGACCCAAAATTAAAGAGTGAGGATGGTGGCGTTGATGAGGGAGATTCAATGTTAGCATTAAGTGTCATAAATAGAAAGATTTCATTGTCACGGCGAACGGAAAAAAAACAACCGCAGGTTCAATGGCCCCAGTGTATCACCCACCCCCCAACCTCACTTTTACTGCTAACTCTCACTGAACTTTCTGGAGCCCGGGGCCCCGCCTGCAGCTGGACCTCCACCAGGTTCTCATCAAGCCGCACGCCTCCACAGCACTTCTCTGTTTCCATTCCTGTCACCTCCTCTCCGAAGGGATAAATCTCTCGTTTTAAACGCGCAACATCGCCCGCCACCGAATAGGAAGGAGGAGTGGGAACGTTTTATTTTGTCTGTATCTTTAGCACAATATCTCATGAATCACCAAAGAGAGTTCAGTGAAACTTTCAGGAAATAATAATTGGGTGTACATCTACTGCTGAATACCTTCAGGGCTCAACCCTATTTAAAATGGCCGCCACAGCCAGCTGACATTGCAAAAGATAAAAATGGCTACAACTCAGCCAGTTCTACTGAGATACTGAGCTAAGATGTAGTGCAGGAGAAACTGAGACCACTCAACGTATACTCTGAGCGTTATTTGATCACACGAGATCTGTGTTTAAAACTTTGGCATTAACCGTTAATGTCAACTTTGTTAGCAAAATATGTCATGGACCAGTGGATAGGTTTTAGCCAAATGCTCAGAAAGTCTGCTCCTCAGATAAATAACGTTATCTTATTTTACATATAGATGAATGTTTCTGTTCAGTGCCCTGAAATGACTTCTCTGTGACTTGGCGCTATATAAATAAAATGAATTGAATTGGGAAAAGTAATCATCGGACGTGCCTCAATCACTCGATTACTTTTGGAGTCAGCCCAATTCAAGATGGCTGCCACAGCTAATTGACCTTATCCTATGCAAAATATGGTACAGCTCAGTTCATTTTACGGACGTTGAGCTAAAGTTTTGTTTGGTATTAGATCATTTTAGGCACTTTAATCACCAACGGCTTGTGCGAGATGCCACAATATGGTGTGAGATAACGCATTGTTATTTTTAAAGTCTGACCAAAATGGCAACAACTTTTTTCAACAGAAGATGATCTCAGCCCCAAAACTCTGACATTAATTTATTTCACTGTGACACTTTTTGGTCATGGTTTTAGAACGTTAGATTTTCCTCGTCACTAAAAGCAAACCTGTTGCCTCTTCAATGATTTCCCTCCACGTTTTGTCTCCGCAGCTCTACGAACTGGACGGAGACCCCAAGAGAAAAGAGTTTCTTGACGATCTCTTCAGCTTCATGCAGAAAAGAGGTGCGTAGCTGCTCTGCATGTGGGAAGCTTCAGAAATCCTCGAGCACTGTCCTGTTACTGTACATCAAGAACACCCTATCAGTTCCAGCTCTTATCTCGGCTTATTATATATCTGCTCGATTTATCCCAGCCGGAGCCATCAGCCAGACCTGATAATTATATAAAGAGGACGGTCACCCTCCTCCTCCTCCAGCTGACATACAACACAGCCCATCTTCTCATCTTTCACTGGGATGGGTGGGGTCTTTATTCATGTCAGGGGTGATTGCTTCATGGTGCCACAGCCACTTGTTCCCAAGCTATAACTAGAAGCTGTACCAAAAACCCGGGGATGGATGAAAACGTCAAACGTTGTCGAACGCACTCCTTTGAGACGTTCTTTATGAAGCGTTCGCCTTTGTGCTCTAAAGCAGCCGTTTGAGACAACTCCTTTGCAGAGGCCCTGCTGGTGTCACAGGTGGGCTTAGAGCTGGTGTTATCATATCAGGCGGGTGTGGTGTGTGTGTGTGTGGGGGGGGGGGGGGGGGGGACATGTGGTCACAACTGAACAACCAGAAGGAGCTATTGACAGGGTTACCCACTACCAGTGGGCGGGTCTGCCAAGTCTGCTCTGAGAATCTCTGATCGCCATCTGTAGGCCACAGTGAGGATTATTCAGATTAGAAGATGCTTAAAATCACTATTCGTCAATATAATATATTAAACAGCTCATCCAGACCGTTTTTAATAATTCAAAGTGTTGGCTGGGTTTTGTCTCAGTTATTTATATGTATTTATCCTGTTTTAGTTCCACCTGCAATAAAAATGCAGGCTCAAGAAACAAAAACAAGTTAGGTTAGTTTCATAAAATACAATTTAATATTCATAAGTGTGATCGCAGTATAGTTACCCAGACAATACTTGTTATTTATTCCTAAAATAGAGAAAATCTATCGCACCATTAAATTTTAATAAACCATATGGACCTTAAAGCCAGCACATCTTCAGTGTTTGTTTTTTAAGGGACATCTTGTATTTGAGAAGGTGCTGAATGTTAATGTGTGTTTGAACATCATCAGTATCACCTGCAGCCATGAAAGGCATGTGTTTACATATTTAACTAAATATCTTGTAACCACCACTTGGATTTGAGTCGAACTCTCAATAAGAAATCATCGGGTGTACATGTAACATTTGGAATCAACCTGATTCAAGATGGCTGCTACAGCTAGCAGAAAACCAGGTTTAATTCAGCCTTGTGTATGGAAATTGAGCTACAGTTTGGTGTGGTAGTAGCTGCGAGTCATCCCCAACACATTCTCTGAGCATTAACGGATCATACCTTCGCAGTGTGATGGAACGTTTGATTTTGATGAGATTCAAAACATGACGGCCTGGTTCTGAATTCTTGAAGGGAAAGACTTTAGTCTGAACATAAACCAAGTTTATAAATTACCGTACTACCGCCGTATAAGTCACATTAGTCCCAGTATGTTTAATAAGGTGGGAAAAAACAAATAAGTTGCTTTGCCGTATACGTTGCATCTATTATGCGTCACCACTGACCACCTGGAAACGTGAGCCGGTGTTGTGCCAAAAATCGATTGGCTGCCAAATGGCGGCTGCGGGAGCTTGCATCGGAAGACTAACAAGAATTTAACAAGATTAACACTTAAAAACAATTATTTGTTTGCTCAAAATTATAGCAAAGGTGTGTCTCAGTTGAACTTTTCCTTAATAAATGC